TTGAAACAGCCAGAGGTGTACACCACCACATTTCTTCTGCCGTTTCGATTCAGGGACTATGGTGCACTCACCTGGTTTAGTGCGCCAGCACATGACGGTTACAGGGTTGTAGGTGTCTTTGCGAACGTAGGTTTGTGAAGCCATAGATGGAAGCAGGATGCAGAGAGAGGGCGAAGCAGCAGTAACCGCCTAGGTCCGTCGATGCGTTGGGGGGGCTATCAACGTGCTGCTTATAACTGCTTCTTACCACCATAATCATGTTTGTAGGATTGGCTTCGTTTGGGCCACATCTTCGTAGATAGTAATTGCCGACAGAATATGTTCAGCGGGGTATGCTCGTCCGTACATGCTTGTGAAATGTTCACCCAGACACACCAAAGGGCCCGGTGTGGCCGTATAACTGCAACGTGGGTTCTTGCTATCGGCCTCCCGTAGACTAATATCACAAGTATATACAACAGTCCAATACGCTTTGACATATCTGCGCTTACACGGCGAACATCTATTCCTCCATAAGCACAAGACTAGGGACCTCGATAGACAATTGTCTTTATTATGGATATCGTCATATGACGATGAAGCCCCCGAAACAAAAGACTGTCCAACCAACAGACTTCCTAAATGGGACGTTACTTCAGTTAGAAGTCATTAATGTTGGTGTCACAGAGGCGGAGGTAATCCACAAAATTAAGATAACCGAGATCCCACGCGACCGAAGCCAAGGGTTCCCGATAAGCAGACCAAGTGCCTATGTTACATATTATCATAAGCAAGCATCACAGGAAAAAAAGGCTAAGTGACACGATGCAAAACTCAAAAATATACCACCTCCACTGCAAGCAGTCGTTGGATACTATTGTGAGTTTGGAGCCGCCCACCGTCAACGGCGGTTCAGTTTGCAATTTTAAGGAGCGAAGTCGCAATACCCCCTGATCTCAACTCTACATAAAACAAATGCCTCTGTGTTGGCCTCTCGAACTTCCCTACTAGCATTATATCTCGGATTTCCAAAATGAGGGCGCGGCAGGCTCTGTGACACCCCC